TGCAATGATCAGGATGAGTCTGAGTGCAAAGAACACATTAATTCTCATATTTAAGAATGAAACAGAAAGCTTGGGGAGAGTTGAATTTGAATCAGTTTTGTTTCTTCATTCTTTAGTAAGAAGTTATATGCTCTACAAGTTATTTAACCTTTCTATATTGGCTTCATCACCCCCTCAACCTCAATCACTACATAATACAATGCTAAATTAGTAAGACTGTTGGCACATGGTCAGTATTGGGTACTTCTTAACCACTATTACATCTATTATTATCAATAATATTGAAGAACTGACGTTCAATTGCAAGTTGATCCCTGCAAAGAGAAAACTCACTCTTCCCTTTAATACTCATCACTGTCCTACGGTTTCTTTCAGTGACTGAATGTATACAGAAATGATATTTGCTAAAAGTCAAGCCTCTGTCACATGCGATTTTGTGAGTGACTGCCCTAAGAAGAAAGGCACTAATAAACCTAAGTAAGAGGAAGTCAAAGCTGAAGTTGTTGTTAGTGTTTACTGGGGAGTAAGGAGAAAGCAAGAGAGGTACACTGAGGTTTGTGACAGTGATGTCCCCTACGTTAGTTATCAGGATGCCTCACCTAGAGGGTATGAATGAAGTCACAAGGACGTTAATACATTGGAGATCAAGGAGAACTTATTTTCTGAATAAGAACTAAGTTAGTTTTATGAAAACTAAGAAAGGTCAGCCTTTAATTTTCACTCATCAGTTCATGCTGTGCTGGGTTTAGTCACAGGGGCTGAGCATTCAAACAAGATTAAACCACAGCCCACCCAAAAGTAGTCTATGGGAAGTAGATACACGATCAGAGATGCAGTGTAAGAGACTAGCAGAACCTTGTACAAGGAGCACTGGGTCTTGGGGAAGGGTGATCATCTTGCCTGGGAGACGCAGTAGCTTCAGTTTGTGACTTGTCTTAGTTACTTTGTCATTGCTGAGACGCAATACCTGACACTCTCACCTCTAAGGAGGAAAGGTTTATTTTGGCTTACAGTTTGTAGAGGTTTCAGTCCATAGTCTTGACTGACTCCAAGGCAGAGTGGCATGGCACAGGGGCAAGATGGAGGAGAAAGAGTTCATAGCATGGTGGTGGGAGGCACAGAATAATCAAGGGAAGATAGAGGGGGACATACCCTTCCAGACCATCCCCCCCACGACTTACCTCCTCCAACTAGACTTCACATCCCAACATCATATTTGAGGTTAAGCCACTGATGAGGTACATGCTCCATGATCCAATCACCTCCCCCAAAACCCATCTATGCATGCATGAGGCTTTGGAGGGACATCTAGATATAAACTATCACATGGATCCACCTCTCAAAAAGACAGAGCATTATAAGTTTTTGAGAATTAACTTCATCCTGTAACTCTCTGCCATGTTAATTTTCTTTGGAGCTACTCTCTATTTCCTAAAAAATAATAACAACAGTAAAGATCCTTAGAGCACTTCAAAGAATTGTTTTTTTCCTCTGTGAGGATATGGGTAAGAGTGGACAGAAAAAGCTGTTGCCTGGTTTTTAGTGGATTTTGGGACAAAGAAGTGAAGGGGAAAACAATTCCAGGGGTGCAAGGATGAGAAGAAAATGATGTATCTTCTTCCTTTTCAGTCCTGTTCTCTTCTTCTGACCCCTCTCTTCTCATCATTCCTAGGAACATCCATCATCTCTCTAGGAGCCCTGCTTGTAGCTTCAGAAAGCATCTGCTTAGAAGTTGGCTATAAATGCTCCTTTGAATGACCCCTTGCACCGAAATTACCACTTTGGAAAGTGAGGAAGAGTAGATATCTTTCAGACTAGGGGAATTTTCTCTTCAGTGACAGAAGGTCAGGTCTGGGCAGAGGCCACTGGGGTCAGATGCTACCCCCTAACGCTGAGCATGTCACCCTGCATATATAGCTATGCCCTGTATCTTCTAAGACACTGATTTTTTCAATGACTACAGAAGCATGGTAGTTAGGGATCTACTGACTATAGGAAACATTGTATGAGAACTGAGATTCCTATTTTGGGGAGAGGAAGGGAAATGTTATTCTTGGAGAATTATGCTTGTGGGAGGGTCAATCTGGTTTCCAGGAATTTATCCACCTCAAGTGGACTTTGATATTGCTTCAGAGCCTACTGGGTTGAATCTGGTGGATTTTAAGGTTCTGCCAAAAAAGAAATGAGCAAGTTTCTTTGAATTCAAGTTCTTATTCTTCATGAGTTTAAATTACTATCCTGGCTTCCTTTTGCTTTTTTTCTCCTTTTTAAAACATCACCTCTTTAGAGTCCAGGTTCTTAAAGCATCTTCTTTTTTTTTTTTTTCACTTTTGGATTTTTTCTGTTTTTAAAATATGTCCAATTAAGATACAGCACATGGGAGACAATCTCCTAATGTTTCAGTAATTCTATATTAGCAACAGCACATCTTTGTTTTACTAGCATCAGCTCATTTATCTCTGCCAAAATATAGAAAGTTGTCTTAAACACTCGAGCTTGACGGTGGGTGGGAGGAAGTGACATCAGACTCCATAGTGGAGCTCATTTGGATAAACAGAAGTTTACTATTATAAGAAATAGTATTGCACATTCTATTTTTCAAAGTATCTCTTTTTATTTCACTTCTAAGTTACATTTCTAGTTAGTTCTACTTCCTGTAGCTTCCATTTCACAATAGAATTCCAAAGCTAGCAGAAGGAAAATATGAGAGCCAGCAGAACGGCATATGTACATTTGGTATGGGAAGGGGAGAAAGCAAAGATATCCTTAGTCTAGGGTCTTCATATGGCAATTAAGGTTCCTCAAATAAACATCTGGAGACTTCCCACCTGTAGGAAGAGTAGATAATAAGCAAACATTTCTTTCTGAATATTTGTGTGAATTTCTCTTTACCTTGGGATAATCCTTATACTTAGCACTCACCAGTCTTGAAATGATTCAGCTGTATCATCAGTAGCTATTTAAGGAACATTTATGGTTTTGTTCTTTGAAATGATCTAACCAGTATTTCTAAACAAAAGCAAAACATCTCACTGTGTTACTCTGAATTCCATCTATTTCACAAAACACTCCCTGTGTGATTTTTAATCTGTCCCTGTTTTGTACTTACATTGATTCCCTAATAATCTTCCACCAGTACCCCAAAACTTAGCGGAAAATTATATATTTTTTTTATATTTTCATTTATTGCATTTTGTTACGATTTGTACCTTAAATGTCATCCAAAGCTAAGGGCTTGGTCCCCAGCCCATGATGCTCCTGGAAGACGGTGGAACATTTAGGAGATAAGCTCTAGTGGAAGGAAGTTAGATCTACTGAAAGTAAACTTAAGAGAAACTGATTTCTCTCCCTGTCCTTGTCCCTGTCCCTGTCCCTCTCCTACTCTTCCTCTGTCTGTCTTTCTCTCTGTCTCTCCCTCCTTTCCAGCTTTCCAGCCACCATAAGGGCAAATGGATCTTCTCTGCTGTGTCCTCTATGACATATTTGTTTGCCACAGTACCAAAAGAAATGTACCAAGATACCATGGATTGAAACCTCTGAAATTACAAGTTAAAATGTCTTCATTATAAATTGTCTCAGGTATTTTCTCTAGTGATAGGCAGATAATACACACTTACAATAAATAAGCCCCACACAACCCTTAGTGATGAATTTAAAAGCTGCCATGGTCTTGTCAAGCGGGCAGAACAGGAATGTCACCATGGCTGGTTCCATTCAGCTGCCTGTCATGTGGGACTGCAGCCCTTTTACCTGCTCTACCGCCCATTACCATCATGATTAGGCCAGAGAACAGCAAATTATACTGAATGTCTGTGAAGTTTTCACAGACAAAGCAAGGAATGTATCAAGCTGGACTGTTCTTTTAAAGTTGCTTACTTCAACTTGAGAATTGCTCATAATATAAGCATTGTGGAGACACTGTATACTGGAAAACCATGCAGGGACAATTCTGTTACCATTATAGGTTGTAAAGTGACAGGTGGTGCCACTGGTGAACAGCATAAGGGCGTTAGCCTGGGTGGGACATCTCATTGCAGGGGTAAATGCTCTTCACATTGGCCAGAAAAGGAGACTTAGCAAAATCTTCAATCTTGAGATGTGATTGCTGCAAGATCAGCTTAGCAATTTCCCTTTTTAATATTCAAAACAAGTCATGAAAGTGCAGGGGAGATGCTCCATTCATGCTAGAAGCTATGGACAAAAGTCTCCGGAAATTTTACACAGTAGTGTGGTTTAGGGGAGTTTTCACATTTCGTGGTGCTGACATATACCTTGGAAAGGAAGCTTAGTTGAAACACCTACGTCCCCACAGTGCCACTACCCCAGTGCAATGCCCTGGATAAGCGACAATCTCTCTGTGCTTCTGTCCCTTCATCTGTAAAATGAGAGATTTGGATGAACAGTCTTTAAGATACCAGCTAACTCTGAAATTCTCTGATTTTGTGACGGAAATTATATGATAATGAGGCTGAGTTTCAACTGTCGTCTGTGGACAGCATCATGGTGTTTTACAGTGTATATAATTGACCGGTCCATTTAACACAAATCATGGTTCCATGGACTAAACCAGTCAAGAAACCCTTTTCAGTTTCTCCCCTGCCTGCTCTAGGTTTTGTTATGATACACGAGAAACACACTCCAAGACAATTTTCCAAAAAGAGAGTGAGAAACATCCTCTCCGCTTCACGTGTCAGTAGGCTGCCCCATTGGTGTGTCATCCAGACCTACTCTCAAGTGACCAGAGCTGCTAAGAGCTGCAGAATGAGTTACATACAGGTCAGCTCATAAAACACCACAGTCCTCACGTTCCTGTGGCACTGTTTTACGCTGCAGTCTTTCCCACGGCCTTTAATATGTATATCAATCACAGGGAAACTTATTGATGTAACTATCTGGTGCAGAAAAAAGAGACCACTCTAGAAAATATTTGGGGAAATAACCCAGGAAAGTGCAGAAGGTCACTGAAACTGAACATGTATTCCCTGACAGTAAGAGCTTACGGGTCAAAGGCTGCAAGCAGGAAGTTCAGCAGGAGGCTGATGGACTGCTCCACGTGGATTTGGTGAGTGGTTGGCATCCGTTTGTTGAGCTGGTAAAAAATGGTGGAGAGCACAGCCTCTAAGCGGGCCACATTAAGCTCTATGTTTGGGTCCAGGTTGTTCAAAGCATTCTCTCTCAGTGCTTCTATGACGTTCCAAATGTCTACCAGGTGCACTACAATTAAAGCAGAGTCAAAAGGTCAGCCCGACGTGAATGGAAAGGCAGATATACTTCTTTACTTGCCCATCCACCCTGGTTTATCTGGATTTCCTCCATGTGTTCGGCTGTTGCAGGAGTTGACGTGAATAAAAGTGTTTAAGACAGTGCATGATCACTGACTTGATGTGTAACATACAATACCAAGCAAATCATTGACTGAATAGCACAGTGATTTATAATCTTTACAGTGACCTCTGAAATACCTATGTTACATGTAAGAAAGCTGAAGAATAGAGGAGTTAAACGACAGCACAGAGGGCAGTCAAGGGCAAAACTGATATTTAAACCCAGATCTATCTAGTTTAAAGTATTTCTCCACTGCGCACACTGGCCCCTCTGAAAGAAAACAGGACCAGCACTTAAATGTTACTGTCTGAAAGAATATCAAAATTACATTGAGTCTTTAAAGGTATTTTCATTTACTTATATATTTCTTAGCAGTGAGCTGCTGGGAGTAAGCAAAAAGGAAAGGTAAGAAGACAAGAGAAAAAAGTCAAGCAATTACTGCAATGCAGTTGCAGAACTAAGTAGTGGATTATTAACTGCTCCGACCACAAGCAATTTCTTGGCTACATAATCATGCTGGTTAGTTTTGACTGTCAGTTCTACTGGGTGAAGTCTCCTGAAGAGGTGATTAGATTGTTAGGGCATTAAACTCATCAGTGAATTAACCATTGTAGGAAAGCTACCAAGGGTATTAGGAGGCAGAACCTCATTGCAGGAAGGGGGTCATGGGAGTGCAGCCTTAGGGATCATACTGTATCTGGTTCTGGTTCTTAAGGATCATACTGTATTCCTTTCTCTTCCAGGAAGCTCTGCCTCATGGATTCCAAGAATGGAGTGGCTTTCTTTTGCCACCCCTTCTGCCTCTAGGATGCATTTGCTTTATACCCAGGCAACCATGAATCTAAGTCTCTCAAACTGTGAGCTAAAGCAGACTCTCTTCCCTTAAGCTGTGAGTGCCAAGTGGTTTTGTTTCAGCAATGGGAAACACGGCCAATACAATCACTGACTGACTTAACTAGATTAAGTCGTGGTTACTTTCCCTGGAATAGTCAAAAATTCATTTCTAGTTCTTCTTTGCGGTGAAATATGGTTAGGACACTCCAGCACCGTCACCACTGCCAAGAGCACGAACTTGTCCATCAGTCCCAAAATTCTCCTAGTGCTCCCTGCCATCTATTCCCACTAAAGCATCTCTCTCCCCCACTCAAGGTCATCAATTTCTAGAATTCAAAATTTCATAGCTGAAATCCTACAGTATGTATTATTTTTCACCAGGATGTTTTTGTTTAGTGTAAATATTTTAAGACTCATGTGTATGATTGAATGTAACAATAGTTTGGACCTCTTTATTGCCATGTAATATGTCAATACATGGATATACCACAATTTGCTTATCATCTCATTTGTTGGACATTTCAGTTGATCCAAGTTTTGAATTTTATGATCAAAATCATTATGAACAATCATGTATAATATAAGCCTGTGGATACTTCTACTTATCTTGGTAAATACTTAGAAATGAAGATCTGGTATATACTTTAACCATAAAGAACCTTCTGATGTGTTTTCCAAAACTATTGTACTATTCCCATCAGCAGGGTATAAGTGTACTGAAAAATGAAAATACTTCTGTGAAAATACTTCTGTGGAAAGTGAAAATACTTCTGTGTTTTCACCAAGTGTAAGGTTCACTTTTCAGTGCACTTCTGCATTTACAAATATTTTGTCTTTTCTCAATGAAGTATGTATTTCTGTTTCATTTCCTGGGAACTGTACTACATAATGCTTTTTCATTGACTCTTCTTATTTCCTACATCTTTGGTTACTGGGACTTTTACTTTGATGTTTGGTGTCGCTTCATTTTTCTTTTATTATGCTATCAGAGATCAAACCCAGGGGTGTCTTACTACAGAACTACCTCTCCAGCCCTTTGATTTTTTGTTTTGAGACAAAGTCTCAAACTTGCAACCCTTCCACCTCAGTCACCTAAGTAGCTAGGATTACAGATGTGCACTGCTGCATCTGGATTGCTACTGTTTTAAATAATTATTGCATGCTTTATGCTATGAAGGGAAAGGCACTGTGCTTAACCTTAAGCACCAGACTTGGAGCCCAAATCTTGACTCCTTCACTACAAGTGCATAATCTCTCAGCCTTTAAGATTTACTAGTCTCACTATCCTCATGTGTAAAGCAGAGATGATACTCCTCATATGGAAAAATGATGAGGTAAAAAGTAGGACATAGAAAGTCTATTACATATGAACAATTGACAATATGTGTTATGTCAAAAGAGAAACTCACTGGTATGCCTGTTATTTGGGTCAGGTAAATACAAACCACTTATCAATGGAAATATGTAAATATTTATTAGATTTGAAGAATACAACTTTAGGTGATTCCAAATTTACAGTCTTTTTCTGTATATTAAAAACATTAAATGATAAAATTATTTGCATTTCTTAGCATTATTTAATCAGTTTTTGAAATTTAACAAGCAGGGTACTTTTAGAGAAATGGTATTTCTAAGTAGAGCTTTCTTATTTTAATGCTTGAGCAGACATCTGGGGTTCCTATAGTTGTTCCTTACGTATCTAATCTCTAAATGCTTTGGATCTGGTCTTTGGGGATCTGTCTCTGAGGATGAGAGAGAACGGGGATGGTGTGATCTGGCCTGCTGCGCTGACTGTTTTTGTGGCCCGTGTAGTCCCCGAAGGGAGGCTATTGGACCCTGGCCATCGGTCATTGGGAACGTGGACTGGGACCTGACCACAGGAGGAAGGTGCTACAAGCCAAGGAGACCTGGCTGGTGGTGGAGAAGGAAAATTTGAAGGTGTCTTGCCCTTTGCAGTGAGCCTTTGTAGGCACACGGCATCTTCTCATAATTTGCAGGAGGGGGGTCCTACAGGCCCATGGGGTGGCCATTGTGTCACCCAGGGTCCTCTGGAGGCACTTCAGCTTCAGTCTGCAGAGCCTATGTTCATCTATTCTCTGCCAGACTTGCTCTGTCTGGGGATCCCTTTTGGTGAATGGTCCCATTTCTCACTTTCCGACCTCACCTGGAAGCTGTATCTCATTCCTGAGCCCTACCAATGAGCAAGTCATAAACTCTGTCTCCTTAATGTAACTTTAGTCCCTTATGACCATCACCGGTTTCCTTCACCGAAAATAATCTTGACTTCTTATTGGTTGACTGAGTCTGATTTTCTCTTTCTTTCTTTCTTTCCTTCCTTTCTTCCTTTTTTAAATTTTAAAAACAAGATAAAAATGATACAGAATTTAAAAAAATAATCATAGAAAATTAACACTAGTTAACATGTTGCATATTTTTATCTTAAAAATATTTGTTCAGATTACACAATTAGGCATGAAACAAATGATTAAACAATGAAAATGCAAACTGTTCTTTTTGATGAACTGAGATAAGCAGCATAATTATCTTGTATATATATACATACACACATATGTATACTTACATGTATACATATAACCTTTCCCTTCTTTTCTCCTTTCCCCTCTGCCAGGTGTTTTTCCCTTCTGAGCACTTTTTTTCCCTTTCACAATATCTATTATGCATTTTTGGATCTTATTTACTCTTTCAGTTGGCTTCATTCTTCCTTCTCTCCAATTTCTTTCCATATACAATGGACCCTTGACTTTCAAATTCAATTTGTTCCCTAGGGCTGCATGAAACTCAGGTTGTCAATTGTAGCCTCAGATTTCTCTACACAGCCTTCAAAGTCTGTACACAGGCAGATCTCAGGGTTCTTAGAGAGACACTGGCCCAGGATTTCCCCCCCCCTACAGGAAAGGATGTTGTACTGTTCCTTCCAGAACTCTTTAAGGCTTGAATCTGTATCTGAGACCATCTGGAAACACAAGCAGCTGACATTTAGGTCATAACTCAAGACTTTGGTTATGAGTTAAAACTAAAATTCCAGGTGTGGGGATTTAGCTCAGGGGCATAAGCGCCTGCCTTGCAAGCAGGCAGTCGTGAGTTCGATCCCTGGTACCAGTAAAAATGAAGAAGACAAAAACAAAAACAAAAACAAAAACAAAAAACAAACAAAAAACCCCAGAAAATTAAAATTCCAGTCCACATCCCAAGTTGTTCATATGTCAAGCTGGTTCTAAATCTAGGGCCCACTGTACAGGAATCAGAGTGGTATTTTTGAAATGTAAATCTGACATATCTCCTGTAAGCTTCTGAAAGTCCTTTATTAATTTCCCATGAATTTGGAATCCAAAGGTGGCTTTTAAAACTCTATTTTTCCTGAAGTACTGAGGATTAAACACAGGACTTTCACACTGATTATACACTAGGCCCTTTTATTTTTTGACACAGAGTTTTGCTCAGTTGCTAAATTGTCCAGGGGGTTTGAATTCATAATCCTCCTGTCTTAGTTTCCCAGAATCCTGGGATTACAGGCATGTGATACCATGCCTGGCTTGTTTGTTCTTGAAATCTGGCTTCTGCTTATTTCTTACCTACCTCTCATTCATCATACATGATTGTCAACATCACTCCCTCAAGGACCCTCTATTGTTAGGTTTTGCGTCTCTCTCATGTGTCACCTCAGAACCCTGTTCTTCCTCTAACAGCACTCAGTGGACTTTCTCTGGGGGTGGCCTGCTTGTCTCTTCCTGTACTATAAGTGGACAGGAAGACCGTGTGCTGTGATGAGTGTTCGTACCGTCGGCGCTCCTCAGAGCTCAAAGACGCTGAAATCAGTATCTGTTGGCTGAGTGAGAAAATGCAAGGAAGTGACTCAACAGTGAAGCACTGTTAGAAGCAGTAAACTGCGGTTGTTTAGAATCATACAAGTGTTAGTTCCAGTTCTAGATACACCACCAGTGAAGCTCATTTAGTTCAAAGATCTGATTCTGCATCTTAGAAAAACGGAATCAACAATAATAACTGGTGCAGAGGAGGAGCTGGGCGGATCCGGA